GTAGAAAATCCACATTGGGTCAGAAAAACTCGTTTCCAAACAGTGTGGGGCATCAATGTTTGGTGAGTCTAATAGGTCCCTATTTTTTTGATGGAACGTTAAATAGGGTAAGTTATTTACATTTTCTTCAAAACTGTTTTCCCCGGCTGTTAGAAGACATTCCGCTGGGCGACCACGCAACCATGTGCTGGCAACGGTGCCCCATCACATAATAATAGAATTGTCACAAATTACCTGGATATGAGATTTCCCATTAAATAGATTGGAAACAAGGAACCTATAAGGTGGCCGGTGCGTTTCCCTGATTTGGCTCCTTTAGATTTTTTATGGAGCCATTTTAAAAACATGGTCTTCTATACAATCCAACCAATTGATTTGAATAATCTTAAAAATAAAATAAGAGGAGTATGACATAGTATTACTCCCGAGATGATAAAAGCATCGTGTACAAGGGAACTCCTAAAACGATTTCAAGCTTGTGTTGAAGGGACGGAAGACAGTTTGAACATTTATTATAATAATTATGTATTTTCTTTTTATAACAATCAATAAACTGTACTATTTTTACATTTTATTTTCGAACAAGAATCATAAGTTAGTGTAACCACCAAATTATCAGAAACGGTTAGAGATAGGTAAAGGACATATTACATGAAAAATATGTAGAACTGACTATAGAGAATTCAAAATTGGTGAAATATACAGTGTGTCCTATTTGAAATAACAAAATATATGGTCACTTCCGGTATGACCGGAAGTTCTAGATATTGGAAAATACGCTTATCACAAGTTATTATAGCTACGATCTAAATTTCATTTAATTCTGATAATTATTATAAAAGTTATAGTTTGTCTAATAAAAGCTGGGACACCCTATATATTCGATTTTACAGGGTATTCTATAACCAAAGAAAAGGGAGAGAGGTCATTTCGATAAATAAAACACCTGTATATTTTTTAAGTGATTCTGTCTCCAATAGGCTTTACCACCAAATTCTGAAATCAGATGCGGCGTTTTCTAGTAATCGAAAATGAAACATTTTTTTCTGAAAAATCACCGGTTTATAAAAACTACCACAGAAATGTAATTCAGGTTTTGGCAAATAAAAAAATTAAATAACTGATTTAAATCCAAGTGTTTTAAATGAATATTGTTAACAAATTTGAATACGGAAAATCCATTCAATATTTTAATCAACACGCCTCCACTGGTTGCTGAATAATTTATACCCTCCAAATTCTACCTATTAATTATTTAGATTGTGAAGAGCTATTTTGTAATGGAGAATGATTTATTTTTGTTTTGATTTCGAAGAATCAAATTACCCTTATATAGATACGACTAATTAAAAAACAATCAGATATATCCATTTGTAGTTAGTAATTTGGAGTTTCTAACAGAACGTGGCTAACTTGAAAAGCAATAAAAACGAAGGTTTTGTCAAAGTAAAATTATTACTTATTTTTTTCTTCATTTATTTTTCTTTCTAGATCGATAGGAAACTTAGAAAAAGTATGGAAAAGTAGGTATATAAAATTAATAATTAAACAAATAATACAACATCTTTATAGAAATAAAGTGTAATACGTAAAAGCAATTAAATCTAAATCTAGGTACTTTGAAAATAAAAAAATGTCATTAATATAGATCTTACCTTGTATGTTTTTAGTAATTTCTATTGCGTTTTACCATATAATATAAAAAATTACAAATGAGTCGCCAGAATCTAATTTGTTTAAGTGAGGGCGGAAGAGTAGATAGAAGAAACCTTTACGAAAGAATACATTTGAACAAAAAAGCCATCGCCAGCGAACGTCCAACTTCTGTCTGCCGAAGCTCATTTAAGATTTTGTTTTCTCAAGCAAGTCTTCCCATAATAATTATTGTTTTTTTTGTTGTAATTATTAGTTTTAAATTGCCAGATAAGAGGACTTTTTTATTCTGTTACTGACATAGGGTCTATTCTTTTTAGTTAATTTTAAGCGACGGGTTAAAAGATTATTTATATAAATCTATGCGGTTAAAATTTTAACTCAAAACTCTATTCGGTATTCTAGCAGTTTACATTTCCGTTATTATCTATTTTATAACCAGTCCCCATTAAAATATACATAAAAATAATGTAATATGCCAGAAACTGCATGGATATTAAGCCCAACGCAGCATTAACAAATAAGATAAAAAATTTATTTAACATTTAATCATTATGAAACCAAATGTAAGTAATTTGTTTGCATTATCAAAAATGTCATTTTATGAAAATCGTGTTAAAAGTGAATCACTTTTAAACAACGATAAAACACTCGACTACTGCATTAGGAAAAGCCAGACGTCTACTAAATTGAGCGGGGATGATTTGTGAAAGTACGCGTTTTATACATGAAACAGCACCTACAACTATGATGCCTGCTTTACATCGATGTCACAATGCATAATAAATGGTGTACTTTCTTGTAAATCACCTTTAACTTCAATACAATAGTTGGAATCAGAAAAATATATTAATCTGATAATAACTGGGACAGGCTTCAAGCTTCACCTACTATGAAGTAGGGTCTGTATGGCGCTGAGGTGTAGAATGAAGAATAAAGACTGCTCAGAGGCCAGTTTTGTTAACATAGTTTGTAGCACACTCTGTAGTACACCAGAGTGTACTCAAGATAAACTCAGTGGAGCTTAAAGTACCTCCAGACAGTCACTGCTAACGGGGTAGCCAGTATATTATAATAAAAAATAATGTTCTCCATTGGACCTCATACCCTACGGTACCCTGAATTAAAATGGTGGAGGACCGACAGTAAAGAAAAAAATACAGGGATAATTAACAATATATATTTACAAAAATAAAATACAACCCTCTCCAACTCGGATACGGTATCGGTACCCCCTATATAGAGAAAACTAATTTTCCTACCAAATAAATTATATATATATATATATATATATATATATATATATATATATTATATATATATATATATATATAACGTGCAAAGGGTAGGTTAGTCCATGGCACTTAGGCCCACTGCATCCTCCTAAAATAAAAGGCACCTCCTATAAATTTAATGTAGCTGAAAATGTCACCAAGAGGTGCTTCTCTTGTATCGGCCGGTGTTAGCCGATACTCGCCGAACACAAATCTTGTTCATGATATGGAGATGCTTCCGTACCTGGCAATGACTAGTTAGAATGCCTGTGACAAGGCGCCAGGCTCTGTCTAGTCATTGTCAAGTATTTGTTTGCTGCAGTGTGGTCAGAATAACTTAAAAGCTCCCTGGCAACTCTGCAGTTTCTTGTTTCATCCCATCTTTCCTTGAATTTCACAAGAGAATGTTCTTTAATTAGGTCTGTCACTACCGATTTTGTCAGAACAATAGAAGGGCCAGGTCCAAAAAGTATTTGCTTGGCTGCTTTCTTGGCCAGTGAATCAGTAAGACTTACCTTTCGATGTGGAGTTCCCTTTGATCCATCTTAAGATGACCACATTGTTGATGGATACTTCGGCCAAAGCTTCGTGACATTCTAGTACTAACCATGAGTAATGCCGTGGTCTGTTCAGGGTGAATAGTGCTTGTATGCTATATAGATGAGCATGGTCCTTTAAACTGATTTTGTTTCTGGTGAATTATTTTGCTGATAAGAGAACAGTCCATTTTATGTTTAGGTTTAAGGATCTGGAGTATATTCCACATCCTGAGCCTTGTTTTGTTTTAGAACCGTCAGTGTAGATATGAATCGCCACTTTCGGCTCTTCTATTTATTTTTTATAACTTTCTAAGGCTTATGGAAGATATGTCTCAATGAGATGGAGTCCATGTTCGCTTGGAGCAGCATGGTATACAATAAAGAAACTAAAAAAAAACTTAAACGGAAAGGACCCCGCACACTGCTTATGGAAAAGTGGCGACCTGTTAAATGTCATAAATTTTTGATATTTGCAGTTCTCAACCTGCTAAGCAATAGTTTTCATGGGACCATTCAAATCCTATGACTGGTTTTTGAGATACAGGGTGTTAAACTTAAGAAATACCACTTATTTGATGTTTTGATAAATACTTTTATTGTTCTAGAAGGTGAAAATATTTACTAAAAAATAAATTATTGCTATATTTATTATGTCTGATGAAAATACCAAAGATATTAGGTGCCATTTATACAGGGTGATTCGTAAATATCGACATAGGTCAATATTTTTTTTGTAAGTAATAATGTGAAACGCAGTATTTTTACGGGACTTTTGTGTATTTACGATATATACAATTATCCAGTACATTGACTACAGGGTGATTTAATAAATATATTGTTAGGTAATTTATCAAATGTGTAAAAAAAAACATTTTTTTAAGCACCCTATATTTTTTGATTTATCATGTAAAAGTATACATATTTTTTCACTGGCGTATCATCCATCCTGTATCAAAATTATAGTTTTTTTTTTTATGTTTGGTTTTTGAGATACAGGATGTTAAACTTGTATCGATTATAATTTTTTGGTCAAAATCTAATTGTAACATCTTTTCACATTCTACGAATATAAAAAGAGGTAAAATTTATTTTCCTTTACAGGGTGAGCTACAAATAAGTAAGGACGTGTTTTTGATAATTACTTTTATTGTTCTAGAAGGTAAAAATGTTTCCTAAAAAAAACATTATTGCAATATTTACCATGTCTGATGATAATACAAAAGGTGTTAGGTGCCATTTATACAGGGTGATTCGTAAATATCGACATAGGCCAATATATTTTTTTTATAAGTATTAATGTGATACACAGTATGTTTACGGGACTTTTGTGTATTTATACCATATGTATAATTGCACAATTTTTTTTGTACAATTTTTTCTTTCGCCATTTGTCTTGCACTGTTTTGAATCCAAATTTTTTCATTCGTATTTTTTTTGTCTACATTTTTTATTCACATTTGTCCTCTATATTTTTTTTATTACATTTTTTCATTCACATTTTTTTCATCAACATTGTGTTTACTAAAGTACTTACCTGAAATGAACGTTTAATACACACACCGTTACCCATATGGAAGAGGTGACCAGTATCATAGTAAACAGCAAATATTTCCCCAATAACGGTACAGCTAGGGACGTTGGAGGAATAATTTCAGCCAGCAGCAAGAAGAACACAGTGAGAGAAATTAGAATAGATACACACAAAGTGACTTTTTCTCCCGAATCGGATGGTAGATAAAACACCAAAACTGTCAGGAAGGTGATACCAACACAAGGAATGATTAAGTTGACCGTGTAAAAAAGGGTTTTACGACGCATCGTGATTTTGAAAGTTATATCTGAAACAAAGAAAACGCAGAGTTAAAAATTCAAATACAAATTATTCACGTTTAAGGCGAGAGTTTAATTGCGTTTAATATTATAACCTAATAAATTTGAAAACTATACAAGATGAAGAACTAAGATTTGGCAGACATTTTTGAAATAGATCAGAGCAGTTGCTGACGATAATATAAATAATGTAACTTTGAGAACAATAAAAATAAAAGTTTAAACAATTTAAAAATTTAATATGATTTTTTCAAGGAGTCAAGCAAATACTCTATTAATAATCAAACACAAATACTTTGAAACCAATTCTTAAATCAATATAATAACGGGGAAAATTAAGAAATAAAAAACAAGATAAAATTTCAAATAATATACGCAGCAAACCCAACTTTACCAACTATGTAGTTCATGCCCTTGTCGATATATCGAAAAACAAGCTTGTCGAATCGTTAGTCGTAGCCAAATTGTAAAACTCGCCGTTTTATAAAATGTCTAGACATTTTACAAAAGGCGGCCAGATTGTCAAATTCTCGTTTCACATTCATTATATTTCTACTTGGCTAGTCGGATTGTAAAATGCCTAGGTATTTTATAAAACGACGGTAAACACGCTGCCAGATTGTCAAATATTTAAGATTATCTCCTGCTTGACATTCTGGCGGGTGACAGTTTTTAGTCGTTTTGTAAAATACGAATTTTATTTAAAGTTAAGGTAGTCAAAATTTTTATTAATGGATTTAATGGGTTACCACGTGAATTAAAACAATGTAACGAATATTTTACATATTCTTTTAATACAAATGAAACTAAAGAACATGAATATAAAATATTTAAATAAACTTGAATAAAACAACATTTGCCACTGAAATGGCACCTACTATGGCATTTTCCCTGTGCCTTGAAACAAAGACATTTGTTTGTACAGCATTGAACTTTGCAATGGCATTTTTTAAACCCTTGTACCACAGAATAACCACTATTACAGAAGCGAAGGAATGAAGGAAAGCTAATTTTTGGGGTCCAAAATTTTTTGCGCATGATCAGGGCTGCCATTTTATAACCGGCAAAACTGTCATGTCACATGCGAGTGTTGTCAAGTGTTGTTTTAATGTGTCAGGATCAGTCATTTATAATTTATGATTTTTTTATCGAATTTAGTATATTTTAGTGTTTTCCTTTGTATATTTTTTAACAATTATTAAGTAAATCTGTGTTTAGTGTTTTCCTTTGTCTATTTTATGAACATTGTTTAGTAAACATTAAAGCAAAATAATTGTTTAGTGAACTGATGGAATCTAAAAGAAAGAGATGTATTTATCGCCCATGTCTAACTCGAACGGATTCGAATACTAGTTATTTTTCATTTCCCTAAGTTTCAGAAAGGTATGCAAAATAAATTATGCAATTTAAATGAGGAAAACTGATAGCTCTACCTAACAAATAGTTTAAATTTTGATCCAGATATACCAACGTTATGTGCTACGTTTGAAAAGTACCTCCTGGAACGGAGTAGAACTAGTAGATTTTTTAATCATGTGATAATCAAGCTTATGTGGAATAAAAGAACAGCTATAGATTTGTTTGTGTTTCCGGTTTCCATTAGAATAAACTAAAACCTTTCTTTTAAATCAAATTTGATTTCTCTTCTCCTGATTTTTGTTGCAAGTTGCAAAATAAAATTTATTTTTAGCTGTGGTATTTTTCGCTTTTTTCCATCACTAGAAAATAAAACATGTTCTCATTTTCGTCTAACATTTTTTATACATATTTTTTGCTCTTAATGACCAGATATGTAAATAAGATGAAAAAGAATAAACTGTGACACAAGAGACAATTGTCTGTACATCTCACAGAAGTACATCTACAAATTTAGTTGCTTTTTTCCAGTGAACTGTATAGTTAAAAATAATTTTCTGCTTTTTTCTTTGTCCATTGTCCCATAAATTACATTTACTCCGTAAGCTCTAAAATTTAATTCGGAGGAAATAGATTTTACTTGACTTACCAGCTCTTCATTAAAAGACCATGGAGCAGATCCCATCGAGAAACTACAGATGTATTAAAAGAACGGCATCGAGTAAAATGAGTAAAACGAGGTACTTTTCAAATGCAGCAATTTTAACTGTATATTATTTATTTGGCTGTTTAATCAAAACAATTATTTTATTATCATTTTTAAATCAAATTATATTTATGTACCTATGACAATGTATTTTGTATTTTTTTAGGTTTCCCATTTGGTTAAGAGCCTGAAGTTGAGAAGACTTGATTAATATAGCCAGTTGTATAAAAAAACATTTCCAGCCCAGTAGTTTTTCATTTGGATCAACTCGGAAACGTTTATTTAAAAATGTACTTCTGACAATATTCTGACACACGCCCGCAACAAATGAAAACATTGATCATTCTGAATGAATCTGTACGATTTTCTCAGTACACCACGTATTAAAAATAATATAAAAGTCTTGTGTTTATGTATGTTTTTAATTTAAATATTTTTTTTAGGTCCCAGCAAAAGAATGACTAACTTTGAAGATTGAAGAGATATTGTTGTTTCTATTTTGATAATGCATGTGCCAGTCCCAAAAATATCCTTCTGTTGGGCCACAATTTTTAAACCAACCATTTGCAGATTAGTTAAATCTCAAGCGGAATTTAAAAGCAAAAAGCCTCTAGCTAGAAGACATTCCAATGAATACAAGCAGTTTGCGCTTACCTTGTATTTTTTAGGACCTAGGGCATATTCCTTTGTCTAAAATTTTGTGCCTTTTGATGTGTATTTTTCATATTGAGATTTTTATTAATTTGATTTTTGTAATACGTGTTTTTCGTATGTTGGTTTATTAAAATTAATAGTCAGTATGGGTACGTGTTTTATTTATAACAACCTTTTTCCTACAGTATTTTCTTCAAATCTCAATTTAATTCAAAGTTCTAATAATTATGCGTCTAAAAATGCAAATTTATGTGTACAATAAATTCATATGGTTTATAAACAAATCCAAGTACAGTCTGGATTTATAAAATACAGCTACGAGGATGTGCCATAATATAAGTTTTTCAAAATAAAGTCCTAAGATGTATCATTGATGCACCCTGGCTCTATCTAAACGATTATCTTCATACAGACAAATAAGAAAAAGAAGTTACTGCAAAATATGAGGGTCGACCCCACTCCCAAGTTAATGAAGTGCTGCACTTACTGGACAACTCTGCACAGAAGACTCGAAAGAAAGAAAAGCCATTTGAGCTAGTGCAGTGAACGTTAGTTCTAGTGTTAAACAGTGTAATAAATCGATACGCCAATTATTGGTGATGCTTTTCTACCAACGACTACTACATTAATTTTGTTTACAAAAATGGAATTGTAAAAAATAACAGATTTATCCACCTAGTTGTCAAATTATTATAAGAGAGTATGGCGAGAGTCTTATTACAAGAATTGTTTATGGTATTATTGACATATCATAAGGTTCTAAAATACATAAAAGGCTTTCAAAATGACAGTTGTAAAGTATATTTGCATTTTTATTTCCAGTTATTATCAGTTTAAAGATGATTGGTGGTGCCATTTGACTTACAGGTGAGGAAAACCTCACCCACCATCATAGGAAGCTGAAAAGCTTGAGGTTTGATCAGTCGCTGTTGAGATTATTTTTTCTTACCTGAACCAAGTTTACGTTATGTCTTTTAGAACGGCTTTTGATCCATATCTTTCACAGCAACATCTAGAATTCCTCATGGCTGTGGACTGTTATTTAGTATATTTATAAACAATTAGGCATTAAATTTAGCATGCAATCACTTGCTGTTTCATCAATTTAAGACTGCTATTTTTTACAGGTCAAATTGGATATCATTGAAAATTGGTGTATTAAAAACAAGCTATTTATGAATGTGTCTAAATGAAAAGTCTTTTCATATACTAGCAATATTAACAAGGTGGAGTTTGATTATTTAAGTAAGGACCTACATTTATCAAATTAAAAGTAATTTTTTCGGATTAAACTAATAATATCGTTTACTTCTGCGTTGAATAGCTTAGGGTTCTTAATTCGTAATAATCGTTTTTTACAAATTCTCAAAGCTTGGAGATGTTTTACTTTGCTTTAGTTCGTTCCAAGCTAGAACATGCATCTCTTATCTGGAACCCTATTTAAAATATTCATAAAATATCTTTGGGAAATAAAATTATTTTTATTTCTTTACTTAATATTATTTTATAACATTTCTAAAAAAACAAGGTATATTACTACTCACGAGCTACTTACAAGTTAAGTGATTACCTTATAGCTAAGGTATACAGGTATCATTTTAGACAGACTGGTCTGATGAAATTCTAATTTTAACTATGTTCATGTGAAATAATTTATCCTTTCGCACACAAAATCATAAAACCAAATTCGTCCTGTAGGAAGAGATTCAACGTCAATGCATAAGAATTCCATATGTCGTCCAATTCTTACAGGGATTTGATTTATATTCAAATTTTTCCTCACATTCACACTTTTTGTCTTCTTTTTCTTGTGTAATTTATTTTCAGCTATCGCTTGACAAATAACAATGCAAGTGAATTCCTGTTTTCGTGAAATAGGGAGCAAATGTCTTAAGAAATGTTTTTGACAATGCAAGAAAATGGCTCCACCTTGTGAATTTTCTCGTTTAATTTGGTGTAGACAAATTGCGGTTTTGAAAAACAAGAATGGTCGTTCTGCAAATGTTTTATTTTCTGGCTTAAATGTTGGTTGTATTTAGTAATGTTATTTTTATTAATTTTATGCAGTTTAATTGTTCTGAAATATATTCACTAACTTATTTTATAATTAATTTATTTGTAATCAAAACAACACGTATTTATGTTTAACAATTTTTTTTTTACTCGAAAACATTTTTCTCTAAAACTAACTAAACGGCACAAGAATCCATTTATATTCAAAAATATTATGCTCCTAAAAAATCCAGTCCTGTTTCTCAAACTTCGAGATGCTTCCAGACGGTCACCCTGCGC